GAGATCTGAAGAATAAGGCCAAGAGAGGAATGAAGAATGTCCTAGGCTGAGGAAGCAGCAGGTGCAAAAACCCTGTGGCAGCTGGGAACAGGGCTAGTGAAGTGGACTTGAATAAACACACACACACACACACACACACACACACAAGGCCATTCTATGTCACTGGAGAATCTTTATTTTATTGAAGTACAATTGATTTACCCTGTTGTGTTAGTTTTTGCTGTATAGTAAAGTGACTCGGTTATTCTCTGCGACCCCATAGACTGTAGCCCACCATATACATATATATGAGCTTCCCAGGTGGTGCTAGTGGTAAAGAATCCACCTGCCAATGCAGGAGATGCAGGTTCGATCCCTGGGTTTGGAAGATCCCTGAAGAAGGAAATGGCAACCCACTCCAGTATTCTTGCTTGGAGAATCCCATGGGCAGAGGAGCCTGGCGGGCTATAGTCCACGGGGCCTAAAGAGTCAGACACGTGTGTGTGTGTGTGTGTGTGTGCTCAGTCACTTTTTCTCATGTTCTTTTCCATTATAGTTTATCACAGGATATTGAATATAGTTCCCTGTGCTATACAGTAGGACCTTGTTGTTTATCCATTCTAAAGGTAAGTGATCACAATTACTTCAGCATTTGGTTAACTACCATGCATGGACCCGAACACCTTATAAATCAGTAACTTATTAACAGTTAACACGGAATCAAGTGTTAAGGGTTTTATTTTTTTTATTTTTTTTTATTTTTTTTTATTTTTTTTTAACTTAGTTACCCAATTTATTACCTTACCCAGTGTGTTAAGGGTTTTATTAGAAATTGGATGGGGTATCAGGTCCTGACCATCAGGAGGTGACATAAGCTCATCCACACGTATCTTTAGGGACATTGAAACTGGGCAGGCCTCCAGCTTATTCACCACCCTTCCTGCTCTGGCTGTGCATCCTGGGGAGGGTAGAGTGGAATGCACCCTGGGAGAAGGAGCTGGGCCATGGGGCAGGGTGGAGAAACTTCTGTGCCCTGGTGTCTCCCCACCACGCTGAAGGAGATGAGGTACAGAGGTGAAGTCTATCTAGTCTAGGATCTCAGCCCATCTTCTTCTCAGGTCAAAACACCAGTTGTTTTTTGTTTTGGTTTTTGGCTACATGACGCAGCTTGTGGGATCTCTAGTTCCCCGATCAGGGATTGAACCCATGCCCCCTGCACTGGAAGCATGGAGTCTAAACCACTGGACCATCAGGGGAGTTTCCAAACACTAGTTGTCATTATTTCCATGTCAAATTGGAACAATCATCAGAACAAAATTCCCTCTGACCTTTGGTTTGTTCTCTTCCCATGCCTCCCTCGGAGGGAAGCTGCAGCTGACTTAGACTCACTGTTGGGAAGCTGCCCCTTCTCGGGGGTCATGATGGGCAGCAAGATGGCATCTGCCAGCAGGGTCGTTCAGGTAGTCAAGCCACATACTCCATTAATAAGGTTCCCTGACAGAAGAGACAATCCTAAACCAAATGTATCAGAAGTTCTATGATCAGCAGGACTACCATCTCATACTTCCTCAATTTCGCAGCATTCTAAGGGAAGTAAATCACCAGACTGGCTGATGCATCAGGGTCTACCAGACACTGCAGAGATAATAAAAACTTTACCTCAGAAATACAGAAGGAAACTTGTGTCTCAAGAAGAAATTGAATTTATCCAACGTGGAGGTCCAGAATAATCACTGACAATGAGGCTGCAATGAGAAGGGACAATGAGACTCTAAGAATTTTGATAGGGTCTTCCTGTACCAAGGGTATGTATAATTGTGAAAGTAAAGCCTCACACAGTGAAATAAATTCTCTTCCATACCTTTAAAAAAAAAAAATAGACTCACTGTTGAGTTCTGCGGGGGCTGGTGCTCAGAATCAAAGGAAAGACTGTGGATTCGTGTCGCAGGAGTCCCAGCAGGAAGTGGCTCTGTGATCAGCCCGGGATTTGATGCATCAGAGCTGCACAAAGGAGAATGACCAGGCCAGCTGGGAGCTGAGAGACAAGGGGCTCAGGATCAATCAGAGGTTTGGAAGGTGCCCAGCATTCCCATGGGCGGGGGCAGAGTCAAGGCAGCTGAGATTCCCTCCATGTATCTCCGGGTCGGGCTGCCGGGGAGACTGGGTTGCATTCAGAAGATGAATCATTGCAAAGCCAGCTGATGCTTGTAGAGCTCTTTCCCCCAGAGGTGATGTCTGGTAACAGGGCTTTGTGGCCTGTTATCCATTCATTCCAGTGGTCAGAAGGCAGGAGGCTGAGAGGAAGTCATCAGCCTCACTGACAGGCTGAGCCAAGAGGGAAATCCCAGGAGGATTCCTCACTGTTCTCCCAACAACAGAGATTCCACACATGGCTTCACATGCCCCGTTCATAGGCACTGTCTGCAATGCTTTGGGAGCTACTCTCTGTCCAGAGTGCTGTGGATTACAAGTGCTCTGGATTTCAGAATGTTATCACATACTTAAATGTCCCACTAATGATGTTACATCTAAAGAGGAGTAAAAAGTTGAGCTGTCAAAAAAAAAAATGTCGGGGGTGGGTGACGGGAAATAACCATAGGATTCTCAATTGCTAAGCACACTTTTTTATTGAAGTACAACATACATACAGAAAAGGGCACAAACCACAAGTGTACGGCTCAAAGAATTTTCACGAAATAGACATGCCCAAGTGACCAGCAACCAGATCAAGGAACAGAACATCCAAGGAGCACCCTTGTGCCCCCTAAGAGTAACTTACATAACTACTTGCAAACAGCTTTGCCAGCTTTCTCACCTGATGCTAACGGAACTACACGGTGCGGATTTGCCTCCTCTTGTGAGACTCACAGTGTCGTCGTGTGTCTGCAGGAGCATCCCTTCTCCTTGCTATGTAGGGCTTCACTGTGTGAATATACTATAACTTGTTTATCCATTCGACATGGGCATGTGGCTACTTTCCAGTTTGGGGTTATTATGAACAGTGCTTCTATGAATTTTCTAGTACATTTCTCTTGGTGAATATACATACACATTTCTTTTGGGTAGACACCTAGGAATGGAGTCTTTAGGTCATATGATAAGTACACTTAACCCAGGCTAGTTCACAGAAGAATGAGGAATTTATTGGATGGAGCTTGAATGAAGTGGGGCCAAGGAACAAAGCAGAAACAATCTGCTCAGGACTGTGTCATCCCTAGACACTGCTACCAGTGGACATCACCCCTGCAGCCTGCTAGTCTTGGAAACCTTCATGATGGACCACTGCCGCCCCTGGACCATCACAACTCCCCTGAAATGAGTTTCAGCATCCCTTAATTTCTGTGTCACTCGCACCAAACTCACAGTCCTAAGCATGGGAATCCACAGAGTTCACCCTAGGTCACTGGTCACTGCCTGGTCAGTCTGGTGCTGGAGACGGGGATGCACCTGAGACGGGGATGCACCTGAGACAGGGAAGACTTTCCCATTTCAGCATCCATGGTGCTGGAGGCACGGCATTCCACTACAGTTATTTATAAGGGGTGAGTTCATGATTTCCCCCTTTAGGAAAGGGGTCAGGTGCTAGACAGTCAAGCTGGAAACACAACATGACAACTGCTCACTACAGGCAGCGTCATCAGATCCCTGCTTCTGCTGGGGGGAGGGTCTCGTCCACACATCTGTGTGTCTCACAGCCCATGTGCATGAGTTTGCCTTTAAGGGCAATATTGAGTTTAGGGATACATTAGAAGGGGCAAGCCACACAAAATGCTGTAGGTTTGAAAGGAAAAGGTGTAGTAAAAGGACAAAAAGCATTTCATGGAGGGATGCAAGGCAGACAGGAGGAGAGGGAAAAGTACATGGAGGGATGGTGAAAGTGAAAACAAAGGGAAGAAGTTTGGTGAAGTCGAGGAGCACATTACTTTTTTCTTGACCTGGTTTAGCTGGTTTCTGTGTTGTCCCACTTTCCCAGTCTCTCTGATGTGCTTTTATGGATTGTGCTTTGTTTGATCAAGTTAATGATGTTGACATGGACCACAGGATAAAGAGATCCTGGTCATAAATCAAAATAGAGGGAGACTGGAAGTCATATTATCACAGACAGCATACAATTATGCTAAAGTTTGAGCACACAGCTTCCTAACAACACTGGTATTGTCAGGGAGCTTTCATGAAATGAAGAATTGATTTCAACAAAAGAAGCAAAGAATAAAAATGTACTAAAATCATTTACAAGGGCAGCAAGTCACTAATTGATCTGAAAATTATATTTGCCTTTTTTGTGGGTGATTTTACATGATTCTTCCAACTGAACCATGGATCTTTGAAGTCATGCATTCTAGATCCCTATACCATATCCTGGCATTTAGTACATTTACTTGTTTTAAATGATAATCAGAGCCTTCATCTATGTAGCACCTCCCCCTGTCTTAGAGCAAAGACAGGAGGAGTCAGTTCAGTTCAGTCGCTCAGTCGTGTCTGACTCTTTGTGACCCCATGAATCGCAGCACACCACGCCTCCCTGTCCATCACCAACTCCCGGAGTTTACCCAAAGTCATGTCCATTGAGTCAGTGATGCCATCGAACCACCTCATCCTCTGTCATCCCCCTCTCCTCCCGTCTTCAATCTTTCCCATCATCAGGGTCTTTTCCAATGAGTCAGCTCTTCGCATCAGGTGGTCAAAGTATTGGAGTTTCAGCTTCAACATCAGTCCTTCCAATGAACACCCAAGACCGATCTCCTTTATGATGGACAGGAGAAGTAACTACCCATTATCCACAGTCTGCAGGTTGGAATATTCCAGGCATACAGTAGCTTGCCTTGAATCACACAGTGAAGACACTGCCAGAGCCGGGGTGGGAGTAACAGGGCAAATGGAACAGGGCAAACTTGGACAGAGCACTCACTCTCTGCCCCGTGGTTTATTCCCTTCCTTTATCAGGGGTGATAGGAGTTTGTTTTAGGTAAGTTCAGTTCAGTCGCTCAGTCGTGTCCAACTCTTTGTGACCCCATGAATCGCAGCACACCACGCCTCCCTGTCCATCACCAACTCCTGGAGTTTACCCAAAGTCATGTCCATTGAGTCAGTGATGCCATCCAACCACCTCATTCTCTGTCGTCCCCTTCTCCTCCCACCTTCAATCTTTCCCAGCATCAGGGTCTTTTCAAATGAGTCAACTCTTCGCATCAGGTGGTCAAAGTACTGGAGTTTCAGCTTCAACATCAGTCCTTACAATGAACACCCAGGACCGATCTCCTTTATGATGGACAGGAGGAGTAACTACCCATTATCCGCAGTCTGCAGGTTGGAATATTCCAGGCATACAGTAGCTTGCCTTGAATCACACAGTGTAGCCACTGCCAGAGCCGGGGTGGGAAGAAGTTCCCAAACAAATGGAACAGGGCAAACTTGGACAGAGCACTCACTCTCTGCCCCGTGGTTTATTCCCTTCCTTTATCAGGGGTGATAGGAGTTTGTTTTAGGTGGAACCTGCAAGTTTGTCTCAGAAAAATCAACAGCTGTCTAGCCTTCCAGATGGGCAGCCACATATCATTTTCCATAAGCTGCCAGAATATGGGACTGACATGTCTGCTCCCAGGGAAGATGGGAAGAGAAGTGTGCTGCTGAGCAGACCCCAGCAACGGTGCTTCGTGGCACACGGCTCAGGTTGTTTTCAGGTCTCCCTACCTACCTGCAAACAGGTAGCGCTGGAAGGCAGTGGAACTCAGCGGCTCAGGACTCAGACTGTCTGCACTCAGGTCCCAGCCTTCTGGCTTACTATCTATAGCTTTGGGGAAACTACATGGTCTCTCTGTGCCTCAGTTTCCTCTTTTTAGAACAGATGTATATTGCTGGAAGATTAAGTAAGTGGATACATGTGACTGCTTCGATCAGTGGATGCTACATGGTGAGCTGCTGCCCCTGACTTGCTCCTCTGGGGCAGGGGCCACCCTGGTGAAACCCTGCCGGGCCCACGGCTGTGCCCAGAACAGGCCCTTACTAATGCAGCCCACGCAGGGCAGGAGCCAGAATAGGAGGAAGCAGGATGAAGTGGTATTTGGAGAGAAGAAATGTGCCCCTGGCCTGCTTGGCTGGAGCACGTAAAGAGAAGTAATGGGGCCACATTTACAGTTAAGCTCACTCCAATATCTACCCCACACCTACATTTGTAGAAGGACCACATGCAAAGGGAATCAATGACAACCAGTGGGAGACAGGGGTCTGGGCTCTCCATCAGGGGCTGAGTCACAGGGCCCCCGGATGACCCATATTTAGAAAACCATTCATGATGCGGGTTCTTTCTTTTTTAAATAGGATGATGGAAAAGCAGGAAATAGAAAACTTCCAGAAGTTTTTCCAGGAAGAGAGATGGAACCTTTACCCACAGACTTCAGTTGGTCAAAATGCTCTAATTTGATACTGAATGATGGTAAATGGGCAGCTTATTAAGTACCTTTTCTCTTCTCAATAAATTATCCACTGAAATGCATAAACTTGATGTATGTAAACTTGGGAACTGATGTTTAAAAAATTTAAGCCCTTACACCCATACTTATTTTTAACTTGGCACATTTGCTATTTGGCTATAAAAAATGTGTATTTTCTTTTCTAATAATGAAAATAACAGAAACCTGAAAAGAAAAGGTGAAATTGCAGACAATGAAGAAAACCAATGAAAAGACAGGCAGCGGGGTAATGCTGGTCGGGCAGGGGTGAGTGTGGGCAGAGGTCCCTAAGCTAAGAGCATGCGCAGTCTCCACCAGGGGTTTTAGACAGAAAAGGAGACATTTTCATAACAAACGGAGTCAGAGGATGGTGCAGAAGAACTTCTTCTCTCGGAAGGGGTTTTCCGACGCAGGCACTGGGATGATGAGAGGGTCCTCTCGCACGTGAGCCTCACAGTAGGCCAGGAGGTCCGCCGCTGCCTGGGAGACCTGGGGGGGTACACAGCACAAGGGCAGGGTTAGAGGCCAGTTCACGGTGGCTCCAAGGCAGAGGTGTCGGTTTGGAAAGTGGACAAGCCTGAGGATAGGCTGTGTTGCGTGCACTGCCAATGACAAGGCCATTCCAAGGCCTGGAGAGAGGGCTTGTACAAATCCAGAGGAGACAGGTTTTGAAAGCTGCTTCCGAGGAAATGTAATAGAGAGAGGCAACCTGACTCCACGTTGGACCTATTCCTTTAGCGCTAACCCTTGTGATCTGTCATCTGGGCTTTGTCGCGCAGGCTCCGCATCTTCCCTAAAAGAACGCTCCTCCTGAAGCATACAGGAGAGCCCACTCTCAAGGCTCTGACCTTTAAAAGCATAACACGTTTCCATCACAGAGAGAAAGAAAGTTGCAGAACAGAGAAGAGCATTTTCCTTGTGGGAGGTTTATGGGAATACTGTGACCAGAGCTCTGTGGACAGCTGTGAGAACAAAGGGTTCCAATACCAAGAAATTTGCAACAACCAGCCACCCCCCTCTCCTCCTTTAGGATAAAAGAAAAGTGAAGTTGTTCAGCCACGTCTGACTCCTTGCGACCCCAACAAATCCAGAGGAGACAGGTTTTGAAAGCTGCTTCCGAGGAAATGTAATAGAGAGAGGCAACCTGACTCCACGTTGGACCTATTTCTTTAGCGCTAACCCTTGTGATCTGTCATCTGGGCTTTGTTGTGCAGGCTCCGCATCTTCCCTAAAAGAACGCTCCTCCTGAAGCATACAGGAGAGCCCACTCTCAAGGCTCTGACCTTTAAAAGCATAACATGTTTTCATCACAGAGAGAGAGAAAGTTGCAGAACACAGAAGAGCATTTTCCTTGTGGGAGGTTTATGGGAATACTGTGACCAGAGCTCTGTGGACAGCTGTGAGAACAAAGGATTCCAATACCAAGAAATCTGCAACAACCAGCCACCCCCCTCTCCTCCTTTAGGATAAAAGAAAAGTGAAGTTGTTCAGCCACGTCTGACTCCTTGCGACCTCATGGACTGTAGCCCACCACACTCCTCCGTCCATGGGATTCTCCAGGCAAGAATACTGGAGTGGGTTGCCATTTCCTTCTCAAGAGGATCTTCCCGACCCGGGGATTGAACCTGGGTGTCCTGCATTGTAGGCAGACGCTTTACCATCTGAGTCACCAGGGAACTCATATAAAAGAAACCTGAGTTCTAATTCAGGGAAGCTGGTTCTTTCGGACACCAGTCCACCATTTTCTCCATCTGCTGGCTCTCTGAATAAAGTCACTTTTCTTTGCCCCGATAACTCGTCTCTCGACTTAGAGGCCCGCCATGTGGACTAGGTGACAGAAAGAGGTGCTGCCCGGAAGAAGTATAGATCACTACCAAGAGAGGTGTGAGGCACCATCAGGAAGGTGTAGACATCTAGTCCTACTCGGAACTGAGTGATGAGTGAAGGCTCCAGGCCAGGAGCCTTACCAGCGACTCTGTAAAACTACCTCTAGACAGATAAAGCCAATTTCTGGCCCTGGCCAAGCCAGTGTGACTGTAATTATTATTATTAGCGCTTTTGTTTTACTGTAATCCACTCTCATGACCAACCCAGGCACTTGATCCTCCCCAGGAGAACACAGATAATAAGCACATTACAGAGAACACACACATAAGCTACACACAGTAAGCACATACTGAACTTGGAAAGGCCACTCCCCTGAGGAAAGAGCTGCTCCCGACCAGAAACCTCTTTGATTTTCCTTTCAGGCTTCTCTGAAGCCTGTTGACACTTGGCAGCTGTGGATCAAATTATCTTCCAGGTAATCTCCAGGAGCTCCAGGGAGGAGCAGGTGCTAAGAGGAGGAAGGGACCAGCTCATTGGGCCCCTGGTCTATGTCACGTGTCCAGCAAATGACTGGTCTGCGTATTAAATCATCCTGCCGATTAGCTTGTTCTGCCTGTAACTGCTTATTAGAGGCTACAGGCTGGACTAAGTATATAACAGTCAAAAAGAATCCTTTTCATGCAATTAGTGTCTAAATCTTCCCCAGAATGATAAACACGCTGCAGGTGAATGAAAAATGTTTGAAGGCCCCCAGTACACACAAGCCATACACCTTCCACCCAGGTTTTAAAAACTGGCTGTTGGTACTTCCCTAGTGGCCCCGTGGCTAAGACTCCGCATTCCCAATGCAGGGGGCCTGCGTTCAATCTCTGGTCAAGGAGATTGAACTAAGAGTTCACATGCTGCAACTATTAATAAAAGTCTCATGTGCCACAACTAAGACCTGGGACAGCCAAATAAATAAATACTAAAAACAAAACAAAAACAACGCCAACGCTCAAAACTTAAAAAAAAACTAAAAAAAACGTAAAACAAAACAAAACAAAACAAAAACTGGCCCATCTTCCAAAANAGGAGATTGAACTAAGAGTTCACATGCTGCAACTATTAATAAAAGTCTCATGTGCCACAACTAAGACCTGGGACAGCCAAATAAATAAATACTAAAAACAAAACAAAAACAACGCCAACGCTCAAAACTTAAAAAAAAACTAAAAAAAACGTAAAACAAAACAAAACAAAACAAAAACTGGCCCATCTTCCAAAACTTTATAGAAAATCTTCTAATTTCCAGCCCAGATTTACCTATTTCAGCAGTGGCTAGAATGTAACAAATAATTTTAGTAGAGATTTGTAATAAATTTTTCCTTCTGACGAAACAACTAAAAGTTGAGCCAATGAGTCAACCTAAATCTTCACAAAGTCTACATTTGTTGGGAGTGTGGAATGGAGCATCAGGCTTCCCTGTCCATCTCGGCCCCAAGATGACTGTGCAACTTCAGGTAAGTCACTCAAACTCTGAGCTTTAGCTTCCTCATTTATAACATTGGGAGAGTTAGCTATCTCCAAGATCCTGTTTACTCTAAACGGTCTGTAGTTTTAGCTCTGATAGCACCACGGCAGTACTGTAGAGCTGAAATAAAATGGATGTTGGGTTGAATGAGAATGAAGTTTGCAGTGATTTACAGGACACCCATGCAGGAATCTCCCAGGTGAGGTGGAGGCCACAAATATAGGGCTGCAGGGGACCTGTGGGGCCGTCACAAGGGATGAGAGAACAGAAGCAGGGACGCTGGCTCTGAAGCCCACAGAGGTGTGATGGAGGGACTCTGCCGGTGGCCTGGTGGCTGAGACTCTGCGCTCCCAATGCAGGGGGCCTGGGTTTGATTCCCGGTCAGGGCACTGATTCCACATACTGCAACTATTATTAGAGTCATGTGCCGCCACTGAAAGATCCTGCGTGCCACAGCAAAGACCTGGTGCAGCCAAATAAATAAATATATATATTTTTAAAACTCTTGACAGACATACAGAAACCCAGAATCACACCGTCAGTGCTTCAGTGTGGAGCCTGAGCCTGGCATCAGGCTTGTCACCTTCTGAACCAAAGCCAAGGGCTCTCCCCTGACTGCCTGGGTCGCAACCCCCTCCTCTCTACTGCAGGCGTCTTCCTCAGCCCACAGAGGCAAAGGGTGTTCTCCGTGGCCGCTGTGTTAGGATGACCACAGAATTCACCCAACGGCTCCTCACACAACCACTGCAAACCGGTCTTCACTACTGCCCTGGCTAGCATGCACAAGAAGGTGGCGATGTTCGAGCAACTATCTTCCTCCCCTAAGAGCCAGGTCCTCTTAGCTCTAACTTCAGTGACTTCTTCCAGATGCTTCATTTAAGAATGTCTTGGGACTTCCCTGCTGGTCCAGTGGCTAAAACTCCATGCGCCCAATACAGGGGGTCAGGTTTGATCCCTGGGCAGCAAACTAGACCCCACATGCTGCAACTAGGAGTTCAAATGCCACAGCTAAGATCCGGGACAGCCAAATATAAATAAATAAAAAATATATATATATATATTTAAAAAAAAAGTCTTATCATCATCCCCTATCTCTAGTTTTCATTTTTCCCATCTATTTCACTTTTGGGGACAAGGACATGCTTCAGTTAGTTCTGAATTCTCTATAAACCTTACAATTTCATCTAGGAAGCTGCGTGCCAATCTTTTAGCTAACTGAGAGGCTATAGGGGAAAAAATAAGGCAAGACTTCTGCTTTCCAGGGGTCTGAAAAGACTCAAAAATTGTAACATTACTAGAATAGTCAGGATGTGCTAAAACATCACAAAAGCACAGCTGCACACCTCTGCAGGGCCATGGAGACAGGGGTGTCAGAGTACCCCACCCCATCCAGTTCCACATGGGGGCAGTTACCCTGGTAAACCTGCCCCTTTTATCCAGAGGCTGGTTCCAGCCAGCTGATCCCAGAGACATGATTTTCCGGCAAGCTAAGAATGGCTCATGTCTTGCGGCAGATCCATGTTAAACAAGTTCAAGAGACAACTTGAATCATATAGAATAGAATCATTAATCAAAATAGAATAGAATCATTAATCAAAATAATAGCTGATATGAACTGAGTCCTTATTATTAATATGTGCCAAGCCCTGTGCTACATACACAGTCACATGTCTTATGTGTGTATGCATGCTCAGTCGAGGGGAAGCCCCATTATATGTCTGGCCTCATCTAATTCTTCTAAATACTATTGTTAAAGTCACTTTACAGATGAGGAAACTAAGGCATGAAAGTTAAGAATCTGTGCAATTTCATAGAACTGGTAAAAGAGAGATCAGAACTGAAGCTAAGCAGTCTGGCTACAGAAGCTAAACACTACAGTAGCTGCCTGATTCCTTGTTCATGAAAACTGTACCTGGAAGGTGGCCTGGAAAGTTCTCGTCTGCTAGGCCAGCACACTCTCTTTGTAGACCAGGTACCTGGGAACTCATGTGACCAGAAGAAGTCCTGCAACTAAAATTTCTTAGGTCATTTGCTTAATCCAGGGACAATTTAAAAATAATCTTTTGGTCATGGTGCATAGCATGTTGGATCTTAGTTCTCTGATCAGGGATTGAACCTGCACCCACTGCATTGTCAGCATGGGATCTTC